TATCCACATATCTAAGGCATAGGTTGGCTGACCCTGTACTTGGAGTTACTTTCATAAAAGAGCTCTATGAGGTTCCCCACACCCTATTTAATAGGACTGATTTTGTGTTTTGAGGGAGCAGAATGGGTAAGATAAGCTCAAGGTGAGCAACATGTCAGACTCTCAATGCCATAAGAACCCGATGTAGGACACTGAATTGTGGCCACCAGAGGCCTTTCTGCAAAGGACTTTGTCATCTCAAAAGATACGCTCATGAGTAGAATTTCATTATGAATGAGACACACACCATATTTATGTATGCATGCACACACACCTGCACACACATCTGCAGACACAGAAAGAGTGAGTGAGAAAAGAAAGCAAAATAGGGCATTTAAAAAGGGAAGAATTTGTGTTGAATGTTTATCGGCATTTATTTTAATATTCTTGAAATGTGTCTCTAGGCTTGAAATTGTTGAATTAAAAGTATTATTTAAAATTCACCTTAAAAAATTTCATCTTGATTCCTATGCCTCACTTCCTATGAAGAAAATAATTCCTGATACTTAATATATCAGTTTGTAGACCTACACATAAAAATAAGTAGAAAATAGTAAAGTACCTAGAGGAAAACAAAGGATAGTATCTACATGATCTTGGGGTAGGCAAACATTTTTCAAATATGACAAAAATGCACTAACAATAAGGGAAAATGATAAATTGGGCTAAGTTAAAATTAAGAGCTTTTGTTCTCCACAAAGTACCATCAGGATTGTGAAAAGACAGACCATAGATGGGAGGAAATATTTGCAATTTGACACAGTATTCTAGCCACAATTCACAAGGAATTCCTACATGTCAATTTAAAAATAATTTATGAAACAGTGCACCCAAGGCTTGAGTAAACACACACACACACACACACACACACACACACACACACCACAGAACAAATGGCTAATACAAGCCTAAAATTTAATTACTTATGAGAAGGGAAAAAAATTAGGCCCTAGTAAAATGCCATGCCCCGCCCAGGGGAAGGCTCATACTTTAGAAACAAGCAATAACACATACCAGTGAACCCATAGGGTAGTCAGAGCCAGAACACGCACACTCACTTGTTTATTGCTGATGAGTGTAAATTGGTACCAATGCTTTGGAAAGCTACTTGATTATGTCCGCTAAAGTTAAATGTATGTATACCCAAAAACAAAATAAAAAATAAATCTATTCCTACTTACACAGGTAATAAAGATGTATACGTTTGTTCATCAAAGACCTCAATAAGTGTGTCAAGTCCCATCATTTCTTCAAGCCCCAAACCACACTCTTTGCCATTGGGTGGATTTCATCTCATAGTGACCCTACGGGGCAGAGTAGAACTGCCCTATTGATTTTCTAAGACTTTAAGTCATGATGGGAGCAGACAGCTTCATTTTACTTCTACAGAGCAGCTGGTGGGTTTGAACCATTGACCTTGTGGTTAGGCAGCTCAGAGTGTAGCCTGCTACACCACCGGGGCTCTTTGCAGCATTCGTAACAGCCCCCAACTCAGAAATAATGCAAATATCTGTTTATGAATGGATGCATAAACACAGCACAGTATGATTCCATTCTGCCCTAAAAATGAACACATAATTGCTGCACAATACTTCACAGAGAAATCACACAAATTTAATCTTGATTGAAAGCAGCCAGACATAAAACACTACCCACCACATGTTTCCATGAGTATAAAGCCCAACAGCTGGCAAAGCCAATGGATGCTGGTAGAAGTTAGAGTAGGGTACGCCTTAGGGTGGAGGAATTGCCTGCCTTCGATTTATGTGTTCTGGCTGGACAGAGGTATGCATTCGGTGAGAGTGAATTGGACGGAACACTTAAGATTTGTGAATGCTTCTGTGTATATGTCTTATTCCAATTTTCAAAAATCATGAATTCAAAATAAAGTGAAACCAAAGCACAAAAACAACAACGCTTTGCTTCCAGGATAAGACCTGCTAGGCTACTGTTGCTCCTACGAACTCCTGCTAAGCATGTGGATAGTTACGTCTCACCCAGAGGGGAAGAGCAGCAGAGGAAAGGAAAGCAAAAGTGCATATGACAGGATAAGAGGAAATGCTGGATGCATTGCGGAGCTGATGTGAATTGTGCTTGAAAAAGACCAGACATGTACAGGCACAAGGTTCCCTTCCACCCCTAGTGTCTTCTCACTTGCTTGCAGCCCAGGAGCCCTGAGCTGCTAACCACAAGGTCATCGGTTTCAACCCATCAGCCGCTCCATGGGAGAAAGATGAGTCTGTCTTCCACCTGGAAGCATTTAAAGTTTCAGGAACCCAAAGGGGTCACAGGAGTCAGAATTGACCGCGCAGCAGTGGGTTGGGTTTGGAGATGTTCCTTAGAATCCAGGCCCAGTCTCATTCAACTTTGCTCCCTCCCCACTGTTCACATCATAAGGGCTCAATAAAACACCATAGGATCTTGCTGCCATGAATCCTAAGAGGCAAAAAGAAAATGTAGATTCAATGTCAACTGTGAAGGCCATTTAAAATTGGAGCCCTGGATGCAGGTAGGAAGTTGCGTTGGAAGGTTTCAGTCTCATCTGACTCGTGTAATAAGGAAATATCTTGCTGCAGCAGAAGGTCCTGTGACCAGGTTCCTCCTGTGACCTGGTTAGCACCGAAGGTCCCAGAACAGGCAGCAAAACCAAACCAAACCAAAAACCTGGGATCCTTCACTGCCTTTTCTCCTTTCCTTTTACCAAAGCCCACAAGTCTGCAAAAACAAACAAACCAGGCACCTTCAGGGCCTGGACCAGGCCAGGACTGCCATGCGTGTACCAACAGCTCCCAGGGATGCTGGCCCTTCCTGGCAACTCCCATGGGGGCTTGGGAAGGATTGCACGGGCTTTCTGCGCTGATGCAGAGATTTAGGAATTGAACTGGCTCAACAAGGAGACACTTAAAATAGCCTGTAAGAAGCTGAGCTGCAGCTTGACGGTAATATGGTCACATCTGAAGATGTTGCCCTGAGATGCTTTGAGTATAATTTGCACGGAGGAGTAAGGGGATGCTCTCCTCCCTCTGTGCCCCGCATTACTCTGCCTAAGGGTCTGTGTGAAGTTAGCACACAACTTGACTGATAGGAGACAGCCTTTCCAGCCTCATTTTCCCTGGGCCTGGTGTCTTCCCCAGGTCTAAACACATCCCATTTCTGTCCCGATACTGCATGGAGGCGATTCATTGTTGCTTCTAGGCATGAGTCCAACCCTGGCTTGGTTTCTTGCTCTCTTCTCTGGCAGGTCTTCATCTTGCTTTCTCCACTGACCTTCCTGACCGAGATGCTCAGGAGCTACCTCAGTGTCACAGGGCACGCGGCTGCCTCCGTAGCAAGGAGGTAGTGCTGGCTCTGACCCTTCTTTCAGCTGCAAGGCAGTCAGGTCACCTGCCAAGCTGTCGAGACAGAGGGTTCTTCCCACCTACAGTCCTTCTCAGAGCCTGGCCCATGCGCCGCTGACTCTTGCCTTGGTCAGGTACGGTGGGAGGAAGACTGGAGTATTTTAGAAGATGGCATGAGATGGAGGAGGCCTTTTCTCATTCTTGCTCTCCCGACCTCCACCAAGCATTTCCCACAGGTTGATAAAGATTGTTATGGTCCAAAGCAGATGGGGCAATTTGGCGCCTTTCTCAGACATGACTCTTGTGGGCTAGTGAGACAAATGAAAGCCAGGCTTATTGTGAGTGACCTTTTAAATGCTCCCAAACCTGGCGCAGGCCTTCCTTGACTAATCCTCCTCCCCCTACCCCCCACTGAGAGTCAGGAAACCAAAGGACTATTTCAGGTCGGGGCCGTGTGCAGAGATGCCAGGCACGGTCACATGTGGGTTTGAGGCCGCAGCCCTTTGTGTGGGGACCCTGCTGGTCTCATTGACCCACATGATATTATTTGGCGGTGGAGGGATGAAGAAGAGGAGCCCTGCTGGTGTAGTGGCTATGAGTGGGGCTGCTTACCACAGGGTCAGCAGTTTGAAACCACCGTCAGCTCCTCAGGAGAAAGAAGAGGCTTTCTATTCCTGCAGAGCAGTGGCTCTCAACCTTCCTCATGCTGCGACCCTTTCATACAGTCCTCATGTGGCGGTGACCCCCAACCATAACATTATTTTCTTTGCTACTTCATCACTGTCATTTTGCTACTGTTAGGAATTGGGCGATCCCTGTGAAAGGGTCCTTTGACCTCCAAAGGGGTCGTGACGCACAGGTTGAGAACCGCTGCTGTTAAGAGATACAGTCTCAGAAACGCACAGGGGCAGTTCTACCCTGAGTCGCAGTGGGACTTTAAAATATATATATGCTATCTAACAAAAAAGCCAAACTCAATGCCCCAGAGTCCATCCGGATGCATGGTGACCCTGGAGAGAGGGTAGAACTGCCCCTGTGGTTACTGAGACTGTCACCCCTATGGGGCAGAATGTTTGCCTTTCTCCTGCAGTGGCTAGTGGTTTCAAACCACTGAGCTTGCAGTTAGCAGTCTAACAAGTAACCACAACACCTGTAGGGCTCCCTTTATATAAGCTATGTACTACATACCATATGCTTCATAGAAGCCCGCCCTGTGGTGCAGCGGTGACACAGTGAGCTGCTATCCGCCTGGTGGGCAGTTAGAGACCACTGGCAGCTCCTCGGGAGAAAGGGTCTTTTCGATTCCTGTAAACAGTGATCGTCTCGGAGATCCACTGCAGATCCCGTAGACCCCAAGGCAGTGAGTTTATATACTACACGTAGAATCAACTCAATGGCAGCAAGTTTGAGTTTTTGTTGAGGAAGAGGAAAACTCTCTTTCCTTCCAACCAAGATTCTACCAGACCGTCATCCTGGCCGAGTTCACTTCTTACAACAACAAATCCCTCTCCACATCCCACTTCCCCTTTAAAGACGCGGACTGTTCGGATGCCCAGACTCAGAGGGCTGCATCTCAAACCTGGGAAGCTGTTTGATCCCAGTGAAGACTGAGTTTGGACTCACCTCAGTGCACATCTGATCCAAGGAGATGATGAATTGACAGCCAGCAGAAAAGAGTGCAGCCCAGAGCAAGCAGGCTGCACTGGGAGCCATCGTGGGGCCAGTCCACCCCGGCTGGCTGGGCTTGTCTAATACCTTGAGCTGAGAAACAGAATCTAACTAGGATGGGCCTGGCCACTTGGCTGGGAAAGGTGATCTCAGACTGAGAAACGGCGTTGATGGTCACACGTTCAGTGGCTCCATGCTGCAGAAAAGGGGAAGTCCTTTTGCATACTGCCCATCTCTGCCAAAAATAGCTAAGGACCCAGCCCCAATAACCCAGTCCATTTCCTGCCAAACAGGAATTGGGTGTTCAGTCCTCTCGAGCTGGTCACATGGCCTCCTAGCGTGGTGGTTCCTATTGACTTTCCAGGTTCTGGCCAACTCCAGCAGCTTCCGGTCCTTCCATGAGAGAGACTGTGGAAACAGGAAGTTGTGCCAAGTTTGGTGGTTGTCTCAGGTGGGCAGCTACAGGGGCAGCAGAAAGAGAAAAGCACTCTGTGGGGACAGAGAATCATGGAGCCCCACAGTAGCACTAGTGGAGCTAGAAATCAGAGCACGAGAGAACAGGGTTGGTCGTTCTCTAGAAGGGGAATGTGTGTCTTGCTCCTCAGCTGCCTCATCTAACCTCAACTCTGGCCTTTCTCTCACCTGTTGCCATCCAGTCTGCTCCAACCCACAATGGCACACAGTAGAACTGGGGAGAGGGTCCCCAAGGTTGTCATCTCCATGAGGTTGACATCGGCCTCTTTCTCCCCTGGAGTCTGGTGGCTTTGAATCTTTGACCATTCGGTTAGCCGCCGGGTGATTCATGACTGTGCCAACAGGGCTTCAGTATAGAAAGAGTGGAGCTCTATGTCTCATAGGGGGGTTCCAGGTCTACCAGAGCCTGTTACTGCTTTATCTGGTCTAGGGAAGTCGAGGACACTCTTAAAAGAGCACCTGGCTAACAGGCCGGAGTACAGCCCGGGCTCGCTGTCTATTCTTAGACATTGTTTAAGGGAGAATGCCAGCTGTTCTCTTTAGAAGGTGACACTGATTATGAAAGTCAATGACAAAGTCAAACCATCTCTTAATGGATTGACTTGAGCTACCGCAGGCGTGCTCGATTCTTAGCCCTCAGACCTACAAGAGACACTTGGAGGCCTGATTCCCCATTGCATTTCCAAGAACCCACTTCTTAGCATCAGAATTCACAATGGCTTGAGCCCCTTCTATAAAAGCCACTATTAAATTACCACTAATCACGATGATCATAACTACTGTCTTATGGTCCAGTTTGTCCAATGTACAGATGTGGAAACGGATGCTTAGAAAACTGAAGTAAACCTATTTAAGGCCGAATGCCCAGACAGTACTGGGTCAGGGCTTCAGAGCCTGACAATTCCACTACGCAGCCTGTGCCAGCCGTCTCCACGACCCACCAAGCATTTTGCCTCCTGAAAGAGCAGACGGTGAGCTGGATAAAGAATGTGCTCTATCAGGAGATTCAGAGCTGATGCTAAAAGGAAAACAGAGGGGTTTGGAGAAGCCGTGTACTTGGCCTTGTGCTGGGGCTGCCACAAACATGCAGCCTGCCTCATCTCCCGTCAAATGCCATCCTCGTTTAGAAACGCACCCCTGAAGGTGTGTTTGGGAAAACATGGTCTAAGCAAACGCAGACGGACGGCAGACCATCTGTTTCGAAGAAGACACACGGTCATGGTGTGGTGGAAAGGCCCTGGCCTAGGAGGAAATCTGTCTGGTTCGGACAGCGGAGGGACCTTGGGGATTCAGGGCAGTTCTCTGAGTCTATCTCGTCATCTGAAAGACAGGAACGGTAATTCCTCGCTGCCGACATCACTGGGTAATTATGGGGATCAAACAGGATCACATGCGTGAAAAAGCTTTTTTAACCTGAAAGCCCTACATAAATAAGTAGAATGTGAGGCAAGGACGCCGTCCTGCGAGCAAGCAATTCCCAAGTCATGTAAATATCGCTCTCAGGAAATTGTCTCCTGCCCCAGAGACGAAGAAAAAAAGCATATTATTGTCCTTCCTAAAGAAAGGTTTGATGGCTCCGTTAAGGCCATAGATTTTTGTCATTTTCTGAGGCCTCGCAATTTGCATATGATTTGCATGTGTTTGCATAATGAATTCCAAAGACTCGCTGCAAGTGTATAAGAGTAAAAGGAAATAAATGAATATGAGTGCCCTCTGCCACAGCCTTCAAATCAAATATTCAGGGCATAATACCCTGAAATATGAAATAGATTAAAATTTAAACTATTGCAAACCGATGGAAGATAGGTTTTAGAGTTTGGAGGCAAGAGTGAAAGCTTATTTCTTCTGAGGTGGCAGCCACTCACATGCTCTTACAGGACACCCATCCCGATGGTGATCATGGCGGCCTTCTCTCCACCACCCTCTCCCCCGCCCCTCCTGTGCAGGGAACACCGACACACTCCATTATCCTCCAGCCTGTTTTGAAATGACTCAGGTGACACAAAACTTATTAACCCTCTCCCCCCATCGTTTGGGCAAATGTAGACAAGTGAAACTTTAAAAAATGTATACTTATTACACTGACGTGCCAAAGCCTTCCCTTCACGGTGCTGCAGGGGGCCTGTTTCCTGTGGAAACAGAAAGTTCAAGCCCCTTGTTCACCTGTCAGTTCATCCGGCATTTGGATGCTGTTAGGAAGTCTCCCCTTTCATGGTTAGGAAACCTTTCTTCTTTCAACGGAGTCACACATTCATGTGTTACAGTTTTTTAACAGAACAGCTTCCAAATCTTTCCCAAAGAGTGCTTAGCTAAAGTCTACTCCTAGAAGTTCTGGTAGCACAGTGGTTACATGTGGGCTGCTAACCCCACGGGCAGAAATGGGAGAAAAACGAGGCTTTCGACTCCCCTGAAGAGTGACAGTCTTGACCCCCCACAGAGGTGGTTCTACCGTGTCCCATAGAGGGTGCTGTGAATCGGAACACACTCAATGACAACGAGTTGGAGTTAAGTTTCACAATGGTCAGGGTGGTGCAGGGCCAAGCAGTGGCTCACTCTGTTGCGTTTCGGGTTTTGGGTCGCTGTGACTCTGAACTGACTTGAAGGCAGTGAGCACCAAGTACAGGTATGAAAAGAATGGGAATCCCAGAGCACCTCATTGTGCTCCTGTAGAACTTGGACATGGATCAAGAGTCAGCCGTGTGAACAGATCAAGGGAATACTGCATGGTTTAAAAGGGATGGGTCAGAGTTGTATCTTCTCGCCATACGCTCTAAGCAAAGTAGATAATCAGAGAAGCTGGATTAGACGAAGAAGACTGTGGCATCAGGACAGGAGGAAGGCTTATTAACAACCTGAGGTATGCAGATGACACAACCTTGCTTGCTGAAGGTGAGGGGACCCGAATCACTTGCTGCTGAAGATCAAGGGTCACAGCCTTCAGGATGGGTTATGGCGCAATGTAAAGAAGACCCCAATCCTCACCACTGGATCAGCAGGTCTCCTCATTGTAAACAGAGACAAGACCGGAGCTGTCAGATTTCGTCTTGCTCAGATCCACAATCCGTGCTCCTGGAAGCAGCAGTCGAGAGATCAACAGACACATTGCATTGGGTAGAGCTGCTGCATAAGACTTCTCTGGAATCTACTGAAAAGCAGAGATGTTCCTTTGAGGGCCCACCCCAGCCATGCTGTTTGCAATGACCTCAGATGCATGTCAAAGTTGGACATTGAATAGGGAAGACTGAAGAAAAATCGTTGCATTTGAATGGTGCGGGAGAAGAATATAGAAACCTTAGCGGGCAGCCAAAAGGACAAGCAAATTTGTCTTGGACGAAGTCCGGCCGGAGTGCTCTTGAGAGGCAAGGATGGAGAGACTTTGTCTGCTCTCATTTGGATGTGCTGTCAGGAGAGGCTCGTCCCTGTAGAAAGACATCACGCTTGGTAAAGAGAAGGGCAGTGGAAAAGCAGAGGCAGTGGAAAAGTGTCACTCAATGAGACAGAGTGATGTAGAGACCGCAACAATGGGCCCCAGCATAAGACAATTGTGAAGATGGCACCGGACCAGGCGGTGCTTGCTCTGTCGTGCACAGGGTCTCTGTGACAACAAACACAGGTAAGTGTCAAAAACTTATTTCTTATAATAACAGAAAAATATAGACGTTATCGAGAATTTCATTTTGAAATTTCACTTGCATCCACAGTGAACGCCCATGGAAACAACAGTCAAGACAGCAAACAACATATTGCATTGGCAAATATGCTGCAAGAGTTCTCTTTAATGTGATCCCAGGTCTACCCTGAAATGCTGGGGGATCCTCACGAATCAGCATGGGCTCCGTAGCAATGGGTGTGACGTCTTGGATTTTCTGTTTACGGTACTGGCAATCTTACCAGCGGCGGCAACAACCTGAAGAAGGCGTGGTGTCTCCCCGTGGCACAGGCAGCTCTTCCATCACAGAAAACCCTGGAGACCCTTCTGCACCCTGAGGCACGAGCCTGCGTGGCTTCTGTCGGAGGAATGAGGGAATGAGGGGGCGTTCTTTCCTGGCCTCATCCAAGAACAGTTTGCATTTCCTGCCCCAGGACTCATTTTTTCCCAAGATGACTGAGGTTGGTAATATCCATCTCCCATGGGCCTCATTATTACAATTTCAAAATTATCCGATAGTAGATCATTTCCCCTGATCTGGGCTTCACTGCTACTTGCGGTCATCCAGTTATAAGTAACCAGCCACTGCCAATGAGTCAATTCTGACTTATAGGGTGTCCGAGATTGTAAATCTTTACAGGAGCAGGCAGACTCATTTTTTTCCCTACGATCTGCAGGTGGGTTTGAACCTCGGACCTTGTGGTTAGCAGCCCAACACTTACTTACCTGGGCTCCTTAGTTATGTGTACCAAACCCCAAACCAAAATCACCGCCATCCAGTCCAGGCTGAATCCCAGCAGCCCTGTGTGTTAGGGTAGAACTGCCCCTGTGGGTCTCTGTGACTGTAGCTCTTTGTGGAGGTAGAAAGTCCCCTCTTTCTCCCTCGGAGAGGCTGGTAGTTTTGAACTGCTGACCTTGGAGTTAATTAGCAGCCCCACGTGTAACCACGATGGAACCAGCCCTGCTAGGTCAATGGACGTGGTTCCAGCAATGTGTGTAAAATACTGGAATGTTGGGCTTAGCTCTACCTTTCCATTTAACTTGTCAGATCACTGCTAGTCACTAACCTCGC